CATGCATTTCGGTCCTGTATAGCAACAGGAAATTACAAACTTCAAAGCAAAAACTGATGCCCGTTGCACGATAGGCAGCTATGGTGCTTCAGTGTCCTGGCAAGTAAAGATTTTGCGTTGGATTATCAGTAGTGAAATACATATCTCTGATCTTATAACATAGAATCCCGAAAAATGTTACGGTTGATATGAATCAACTTTTGAGACGACTTTTGTATTTTGGGGACTATTGATGAATACTGCCATCACTTAATGATTCAAGCAGTAGGAGATATGCATTCAGCTGAGAGCGACGATTTCACTGAACAATCCTATCAAAAATGCTTTTGGTAATCGCAACACCCCATTGGTGATACGTCATGGCAATAAGGTGGAAACTGAAGAATAAAAGTAGCTCGATGACTCTAAAAAAAGTTTTCAACTGAGCTAATGGGTTAAAAATAGAGGAATATTTAATGCTTTCATGAAAAACATACTTTATTTCCATCTAGATCTAACAAAAGGCTAAAATGTATCTTTTATTAGAGAGATGAGGAGCAATAAATGATGTGAATACAACTATACTACTTACCAATGCAAAGTAGTCAAAACGTAATTGGTGAAATAAATATTCTTCTTTTATTTCGTAACAATAAATACGTGTGGCAAGTATGATACGGCTGTTTTGCTGCTTTGCCCAAAATCATTTTAGAACCGTCGGGAAAGGTAGGCCGTCCCTAGTTACCAATCATGATTGTCATCTTGTCACTTGAATAAAACACTATTAGGACTAACAAACTTCCCTATCACTGTCAATACTGAGTGTTTCAAGTTGGTATTCATCATGAACTGACATCAGTCAGAGGAATACTGAAGACATGGGGACACTGGACAACTGTTTCGTCCTATTATGGGACTCCCCAGTAGTTTGTACCCATGACTGCGCAGGGTCGAACTCAGGCCCTTCATTTTCCGTGACCACCACGATACAACTGAACCACTAGATACTAGTCTGGTAGTCATTATTTCCAACTTCTAACACTTCACGACATAACGCAACCATTACTCATTGTCATCACTGAGTACTTGTCCTCACAGCCACTAGGTTTGCCCGATTGGTCACGACTTCTCATTGGAACATCAGGAATCACCACTCGAAGCTAGTCATTAATATTGTTTAATTTTGACTACACTGTTATCTCGCATATGAAGTCAATCTCCAGTATATTTATAATACATGGAATGAAACATTTTATGATTTAGCTACTCAGTCGAAATCTCTTTTGTATATTTTCTATGTACATTATTGAACATATACATCTTAGGCTACGAAACTAAACCCTGTTTACTATTAAAATTGACTTTTAGCAGGCTACAGATATCCTAATTTCTATGCATTTTCAGTCAGTGGATTAGACAGAGCACCTAGCAGTCATCGTGATCAACATGCATTTGTGTGTATTCAGTACAAGGTGATTTCTTTATGTTCATGGCGTGAATAGTGAGGTTTTCCAAAATGGTAAACAAATTTAAAGTCGAGCAGTGATGATCTAGAATGGCAAATGAATTATTATTATTATTATTATTATTATTATTATTATTATTATTATTTTGATAAGGTAGTATTTCGTAATTTTTTACTTTCATAAGAGAATGAAATCCCATGGAATTTTCATAAGTCCCCATGCATAATCAATTCGTTTATATATGGCATTTTTGTGTTCATGACTGCTTATTTGCTGTCTGTTTTACATGATAATTTATCCTGAAGTCTTCTTCGACGTTTTCCAATCTATACATACGTATTAATTGCTCAGTTATCATATCACTTATGATGGTATTTCCGTTTCTTCGCCCTTGCTTCTCTGCGTAAAGTAGATAAGCCATGGCCACCAATATGTTTTTGATGACTTTGATAAAGATGGCTGACTTCTTCAACCAACAACCTCCCAAATAACATTCAGTTAATGACCCATGACATTATCTGATCTGCCCTAAAAAAAACCGATAATCTTGTATTAATCGCACTGGAATCTATTACAGCATGTTGACGAAAACTATCCTTCATCATTACAGAGATTGTAGGTATTTTTCAAAGACGATTTCATTCATGTGTAGGTTTTCCAGTATGAAATTTCTTTTCAACTTTATAGATATCATCTAACACTTCGAATATTATGCTTTTACTTTTGGGAAGACAAAAACGGATACAAGTCTAGTCTGATGATTAGAAAGCTCAGAGAACACCAAACCACAGTCATCCTTATCCTGCACCGATGATTAGAATTTTATGCACACTTCTATCACTCATTTCTGCCATGTATTTCTAAGAATCTTTCCTTCCTTATTTTGTCTGCTAAAAATGTGTCATATAACATAATATTCTTCAGAATTTTTCCATCCGAAAACTTTGTAATTTATAGAATTCAGAGAAAGCATTAAATGATGTTAATAAGTGTTGGATTAAACATTGTTAAAGCTTCAGCAATATGAAAGTGGAAATCGTTATTGAATGTTCAATTTCTTTATTTGTTTAAAAACATTGTATATCCTTTAACATAATCAGAAGAGCTATGGACTAGTTGGCATTATTTCCGGAAGTCTACTGGTTTGATCACTTTTAGGAAGTATAGAATTTTGATTAGGATTCATTTAACATGGAATCGATGGATGATTCGATGTGATATTCTTTAGAATCGTTGCAATGGCCAAGATACACTGACACACTGTCTTAACTGTAATCCTCTTCGCTTTTTCTTCTTCGTTTTATACCAGTTTCGATCACAGAGTTTCACTTAACTTCTCCTTGATATCAGTTACCTTATGTTTTGATATGCTAAAGCAAGTTTTAAGAACTTCGATGTTCATGCAGTAGTGCAAGACCTCATCAAAATTCGTTGGAATACTGGTTATATAGCCGAAAACTACCATCCAAATAAGGTCGCCGTACATCATCTTTTGAATGTAACGCTTAGAACTCGAAGATTTAGAATTATTTAAACACTTATGTTACAGCACTGATGACCCAGTTGTATCTCTTTCTATCTACCACAGTATTTTCTTTTGAAATGCGAATACTTTGGAGACAAAACCATCAACCGATATCACAGCTGTGTCAGTTAATTCACCATATCTGGAAGGCTAATTTATGACTATCCAAGTGGTCATGTTAATGTGAATTCATTTGTCAGCAAAACTGATTGATCATTTCCCTTTCCCTCTCCATCTAAATAACATTTCTTCCTTGATTCACCTACTGTGAATTGGTGTAGCTGGATGATGGATAACTTCTAATGGTAGTCAAATACCAGGCGAGCTTTTATGTTGAATTAGATAATAAGTAAAATACAGATATAATAGGATGGTAACAGGCATTGTACTATGATTAAACTAAGCAAACTCTTGTTTTTCAAAATATATGAAACGTATGTTTAGGCAGTCCTTCATTATTCAACAGCGAGATTTCTTTCAAAAAGGGGGTCATTTGATATGAGGGCAACTTCGATTTCAAACTGAGATCAAAGAGTGAACTACCGAATATAAAGAGGTTATCGGTGTGCAGTTTCATTCTATTCTGACACTTGCGGATACACAAGCAAGGCTATCAAAATAACCGAGCTTAGGATATGTAGACTTTAGTAGGAAAACGGCGATTCCTTTGAAAAGCATCAAACATTTTCTTCAAATAAAGTTCTTGAATTTTGATGTATACAATGTGTTACCTAAATGGTCTGGGCTAATCTGAGAAGTGATAACTGGTCAACGGTAATGGGTTCAAAATCTGTGTGCATCAGATACCTGCTACCACATGATTTTCAATGAATCCCCTTGATCAACTTACACTCAGCTCATCTCCATACTAATTAAAGTGACTCATAACTCCTCAAAGAAATAACTTTATCAGTTGGTCTTTTATCTACTGAAAAGATTTCAGAATGAAACACCTCACTGTCAGTTGTATATTATACAGCAGCATAGGTTAACTCGCTGTCAAAATAATTACAGTGGACAACAGCGGACAGGGGTGAAATTAATGAATAACTTGTCAATACTTCTACTTTTACTACTACTAATCACACTACTACTACTACTACTACTACTACTACTACTACTACTCATGTGACACAAAATTTCAAGAAACTAATGAGTCGACAGTAACACTACTAAAGTTTTCTCGTCTCATTAACTAGTCTAAGTATTGTGAATTTATATTGGGATGCAGCATCAATGAATGTCTATGGCTTGAAATAAAATGCTTTCATCTGTCGCATTGAAATATATATTTAACACAGTAGGACTTAAATGATATCGAGCTTTTTCCTGATTGCCTAATATCTGAAGTCACCTTAATTGGCAAAGTTGGCAATGAAATTCCATGCAATGATGATACAGAATATAACCATTTAGATAAGGTGAACGAACTGATACCTCTGGATGATTCCCAACGATTTTCAGACATCACCAACAATCGACTGTTTCAGCTTTCTTGGAGAGGTAGATAAAGAAGACTACATTCCCTTATTATATACAACGACAACATCACAATCAAACGTTTCAGACTTGAAAGTCATTTTCAATAGTTGTCAACTGAATAAAACTACTTGTTGTTTGCAAATTGAACAACTGAATACAAATTGAAGAGCAGACATCCTCTTCACCAGTGCACAATGGCAACTAATGAAGTCTTTGAAAGAAGAGTGAAAAGAAAAACAGCCTTTGGATGGATTAAAATAATTATCGACCAATTATGTGATGTTTTCGTTAAGCAAACACTTATTGACTAGTCTCTCACTTATTCACTTCATCCACTCTACCGTCATTTCACTCATCCATCTTCAACTTGCATAACTGATCCACTGGATGCCTAATCCCTTAAATGTTTACTAACAACTCTGAGAAAAACAACACCAATATGAATAATTCACGCTTGATTTATTCACCTTGACATGGGCAGAAATTATCTAGAAAGAAACTTGGAAATAGAGAGAGAAAACAGAATTTATACTTGACTAAGATGCTTCATTTTCTAAAAATATTAGAGTGAAAATTCAAAGATTGTTGGGAAGTAATCTTCAAACTGTATGATGAAATATTTGTATTCAATGGTTAAATGAAACAAAGGAGATAGAAAGGTCATTCTACTGAATAGCAGTCCACCTGAAAGTTAAGTAAACATAAATGTTGAGTAGTTTGTAAGTAGCAACCATAAACTTTGATTATCTATCTCGTCCACAGTTCAAAGTTTCAATCACTTTTTTTCAGATACCAGTGAGTCTGTATTCATCTTTGTTCTCTTTCGAGTGGATAACAATAAAATCATAATCTCCTACTACTCAAATGCAGTTAGTAATCTGTGTGCTTTCTGTAAAAGGAAAATAGTCACTACTAATCTTATTATGCTGCAGTTGTCTGGTGAACTGGATTTGAATAAATTCAGTCGACTTGTATCATTTAAACAAAATAAGATGATTGTGGATAACTGTTGAATGATCGTCTAAAAGATTCGATGCAGTCAACTGGCTTTTATGCAGTTGAGTCTTTCTGGAATCCATACCTTTGCAACTAAAGTATTCGTTGAATTTGATGCAGGATTTCGACTCCATGCTGGACGATCACGATGCCAACTTAAACTGTGTCCAAGAAGTATTTGGTCTGGTTGACACCCCACAAGTGAGTCATACATAGATTCTTCAGAACCCTTTGTAACACAAAGTTTTTCGTACTTCCTTGTGATCATCACTTCAAACACTGGGAAGAGAAGATGAGAAATTCACATTAATGATGGCATGATTGCCAGATTATATGAGCTAAGAGAGGGAAATGAAACTCTCATAGGGTTAAATGTTACACGTATAAATTCATAAACTCATTTCAGTCTGAACAGTTCTTGCGACAATGCCTGTTTAACAGAAGTCAACGGGTAGTGCTTAGTAGTTAGTACACAACACGAAGGGTTCAACCAACCTCCTCATGTAATGCTTAGTATTTGATGCTTCAAGAGAACAAGCCATTCAGACTGACAGATAAGACTAATTCGTGTGGATCACGAATGAACACTTTGAAGAATTCATCTGATACATCATTTGGTCACATTTCTAGTTCATAAGACAGACAGACAGACAGACAGAGCAACGTGGCTACTTGTTTAATATGCATCGTTTTAAGTTGCCGAACTTGACAAGGCAACAGAGAAAGGAGATAAAAGGGAACAGAATGAAAATGAAATAAACACAAACCAAAGTGAGAATGAATTTCAGAGAAACATTCTAAAATCCTATGATGAGAAATGAATACATATGCACCATTGTGATCGATTGTTAACCATGTCTTTATTGGTCATTTATTATTCACTTCCCAACGTCGCAGAGACCTCAACTAGGCAGTCTTAATTTAAGTACACGGCTCAGCCCTACAGTCAAAAGCTACAATGATCAGTGGTGCATAGTCATCTGGTCACTACTAGCTGTCTTCTTGTCTCATTCTCCTCTGATTAGCTTGCAACTCGAATTGTGCAAAACTTGATAAGGATCATACAGTAGGCCTTACATATAACATAGTTTTTATTCGCCAAGTTATGAGTGATAATGATTCAGAAACCAATTAGTTCCCATATTTTTGGTCTAATCCTTCAAATACATTGTAGTGAAATCGACTGTGTTTACAATTTATGAATTGAGGTGCTAGAATGTCGAACCATATTCAGTCACTGGAGATGCATGCACAGTATGGCATGCAGCCACCATTTTGAGTGGTGGCTATTAGCTTCACATCGTTAAATAGCTGGATGGAATTCTGTAGAGTATAAATATCATATAACCAGTGGAGTAATCGAGATCAACTACATTTTCAATAAGTCTTTACATCCACTTTGAAGACAATTTTACAGGATCAAAATATGTGTGAACTTTCGAAAACTTCCATGATCGATTTTCATTGCAACCTACACCTTGCATGGTGTAATTAAGATGCTCAGAAACACTTTCCAACGGGTGAAGCAGGCACGTAACAGTAAGTTCAGTAATCAGAAGAAGATTCAACGTACATTTCACAGAACTCGCTGCATTTCAAACTACGCATTCAATCATCCTCCACTTTTCAGTAAATGGAAACATTTGAGAATCGAATTTGGTGTTGGCATGATACACTGTCCGTGGGGAGAAATCTCACCGTATTTGCACGTGGAAACTAAACTATTCAGATCACCACTGACTGCTGGTCATGTGAATGGCCTGCAAATACCTATGCCAGTCAGTATATTACGTGATGGATTCATAGAAATGCTTCCTTCACAAGAAACACTCTTACATGTGTAAGTAATTCCAATAAGCAAGGTGTCCACATCACAAACACGTCTCAAAACCAATATTACCACATCTTTTTCAATACTTTTTCACTGCTTTTGTAAGGAACCTACTACACAAGGAAACGTAAAAGGCCAAAATGCATATTAAAACGAAATCATGTTAACCAGGGCCAATGCTGTTAATATTATCATTATTATTATATATTATTTGTCCCTTGGGTTCCCAATGGAATATACGGCTTCAGTAGCACGTCTCCACTCCACTCTGTTCTCTGAAATATTTTCAACCTGGCTCCATGACAGCCCACAAGCTCTCATTTCCTCCTGCCACGATCTCCTCCATGTCACCCTCACCTCCAAAGCCCAACTCGTCGCTTCCCATCTGGGTTCCACCCAAGTACCCGACCTGACGCGTGATGTCCACAGTCGAACTTCTCAGTGTTTGTCCAGTACAATCCACCTCCACTTCCTTCCACTGCATATTTGTTCACCGATAGCTTCTTGGTTGGTTCGTTCCCAGGGCTCCTTGTTGCTTATTCCTATTATTCTGGCAATCCATCTGATCTTCAGTAACGAGCCAGCGTAGGCAGCAGTTGTTGATGAATGTCTGTAGTTTGTTGGAAATCCCTTTCGTAACACGCCAACTCTCTCAACCATCACATAGAAGCACTGACTTCACTGGTATTGATTGGTGTTGAAAATCCGGATGTTGTTCACGCTGTATGCTGGTTGAGTGCAGAAGATCTCCACACTGGTTTCAAGTTAATGAACGTCTCTCTTGCTTTTCCCATCTTGGCTGCCTTTGACGTCCTCATCTGTGCCTGTGCCGCCGCCTGTATTTGAAACAGTGCTGCCTAGGAGGGTGGGTGAAACAGACTACTTCCTTTTGGTTCCTCCCGTTGATGGTGATTCAAGCTTCTTGTTGCTGTTGTTGGTGGTGGTGTTGGTTGGGTATCTTCATCACCTCTGTCTTCTCTATATTCACTTGAAGTCCCGTCTTCCTCCACTACCCTGCCTCACCTCTTCTGTCAACTTGTCAGTCTTCGCATGTAGATCTTAAAGTTTGTGTGACATCAGACACAAGTCATCGTTGACGAAATCCAAGTCTTCTATGTTCTTTTTCCCAGTCCAGCCAGCATATGCCCCTCTTCTCACTCCTCACTGATGTGAGCATGTTCGCTGTTGTCTCTGCATCTGCCCTCAGTGCTTCAGGTGGGATTCCATATGGTCCTGCTGCTTTCCCACATTTCAGCAGCTTTATGGCGCTGCGTTCACGACTTCCACCTTTGTTGGAGGATTTGTGTTCACTTGTAGTTCTGTGGCTGGGCTGCAGGTGATATTTCTGGACGAAGTGCGGGTGTTGGTGTTGGTGGTGATCGATTCAAGAGTTTCTTGAAGTGGTCAGCCCATTGTTTCCTTTCTTTCTCTTATTTGGCAATTAAATTTCCTCCATCATCTTTCATTGGTTTCATATGTGTTGACCTCTTCCTTCCCAGATAGTAACCTGGTTATTTGATACAATGTTGTCAGGTCTCCGTCTCTCCTACCTGCAGCCTTCAGCCTGTTCTGCTTCACTTGCCAATGTGTCGTAGAGGTGTCTTTTGTCTTTGCGTGCACTCTTCTTCACTTCTTTGTCCAGTGCAGTGTTTTATACATTGTACTCACTTCCTCTTCTCGTTGTGCATCCTTGCACTGCACTGGTTTATCTTCTGCTTCACCATCACCATCCTCCTCTCCCTGTTCTGTCAGCTTCCATGTATCCATCGAGATCTATTCAATATTCCTGTGAATAAACTAATTGACAACACAGGTTCGCCCTGTTAAAATGCCAGTTATCACCATAATCTACTCAATAATAAGACGTGATAATTAACAATTGGTTGAACCAACTGTCTGTCTCCTTTCACTGTTATCTTACATCAGGAAAATTAAAAGTAGACCCCATTGTACTTCGTTTTACATGGCATAACTCACGGTTCACACACATCACAGACATCACACTGTGCATATACACAAGACAATTTTTTGATAATTACACTTTGAAATGTTCACACACATACACACACAGGTAGAACTGGGAATGAACAACAGTCAGCATAAGTCACTACTCAACGTGAATGCTTACAAAGTGATGTGTCACAACATGAACCGATCATCATAAACAATACATTACAAATGTAAACAATTAACAGAACGAAAACAGTAATCGTGGTTGACAGTGTGAAGAAGTAACCAGGAGATTGTAATAGTTTAGAAGAATAGGTGACCTCTTACATTCAGTGAATCATCTCCTTCCTATCAATGTGTGTCTTGAAACTCAGTCAAAATACTATTGAGACAATTGAGAATTGTGCATTTTTCAATGACCACTGGAATCATCAGCGATATGTGAGGAGAAAACAATCGGATGACAAACAATAATGTTAACCTGAAAAGAATTTGTCTGTGTAGTATAAGTGATGATGTGATGCCGTCAATCCATACTGCAAACTTAATAATAGACAGGTAGGTCACCTAGAGTTTGATCTTATGAGTATTTCAATGTTGAAGTGCACTTGTTGTTTAACTCATCTTCACCACAATATCAGTCGTGAACATTTGAATAATGGTGTCGTCTTTGTAGCATTCGAGAATGTCTCGTTGTCACATCGTTGTCAGACATCCCAGCTACTGAAACTGTATATTGTGATTTTGTAAATAAATGACTGTGTCTACAGTTGCACAAGATATCCAACTAGTGAAGGATCATTGGTTGTCACAACTGAATGTGAACAGCACAATCCACGCATCAATATTTGGAGGAGTACACACTTAATCTGGAGTCAATCGACAGTTGAAAATGATAATAACTTATAAATATGCCCTCCATACTCACCCACAACTGGTATAGAAGCGATGAAAACTGTAAGAGTGACCGGGTCAAAGTATACTACCTCTGTGAATACCTCGATTAATTATCCAGGTCTCAAAGACCTTTAAGATGTATTCAAACTGGAAGCTAAACGTCTCAAACGACAAAATTTCAAGTCCACCTCAGCTTGCAATGCCCAATCCATCCCTCTTACATTCATGTAGCTGTGTGGAGAACTGCAGATCCAAGCCTATACTCTTCAGATGACTCAGACTAATAATTAACTCAGATATTCGACATCATGATGAAAGGATACAAATCGACCAATTGGTTTTACATGTTCCATGAATATTACCGGTGGTTACGTACCAATATACGTGTTGATTTTTGTGTAATTGACTGGAATTCGATGACAATCACCACTGTTAAGGTCATTCTAGTGATGCTCAAAAGTAAAAGCATAGCTAGGGCGATTCTGCTAATTATCCAACATATATCATAGTCTTTTGTTTAGAAACCACCAATTCAGAGTAAAGATTTGCCATCTCTCTTGAAAACATTTTGCTACATGGACAGTAATCCTAAACTGCTGTCTTCAGATTCTCAACTGCCACCTTCAGATTCTCAAGTGATGACTTCAGATTCCATCCAGTATGAAGGCCCATGCCATCAATTTGTCGAAGATTTCATCTCTGACAAAAAGTTGAACGCCTCCACTATCCAACTATGGTAATACCACCAACCAACTGAAGTGGAACCAACTGACCAGTTATTCCATTCTTCTCATCAACAAAACAATATCAATTTCCATGACTTCACTCAGATAGAATACCTGCTTATTCATGCAGAAAATTACAGCAGGTTTTGAGGAGTACCAGTCAATTAAGTCGGTCCAATACTCAGTGAAACACCTGACAGGATTGATTATTCACACATACAAGGACAATTTTCACACGATATCAGATGAGTTAGGTAAGGATTCCGTGTAAATGAATAATTAGATTTGTGATCTGGGCTCTGGTCAGTTATAAATTTTACATCTTTCCCCCAACCCCACCCCACCCCACCTGATCCGATTTACAGATATGCAAACATCCCGAATACAGAGGACTTAGTAACTATGATCATGATTGGCATGTGGATGAGAAAGGGAAAATGAAAAATTTAAAAACAAGAAACTGTTTGTTTCTGCACAAGAAAGACAGTGGGCAGTGGAGGTGGATTTGTAAACGAGGTGATCACAAGGGTAGTCAAACATGCCACATATTTGCCCCCTCTCTCTCCCTCTCCCTCCCTCTCCAGTAGATGACTGCAAAGAGATATGAGAACCAACAAATCACTGGTATACTAACCATAAATATTCATGTTTGCTTCCTTTCACGATAAGCATAATTTAATTATCATATGTGTGTTTATAGCCCATAATTATTCAATGAAATATGATGCTTTAACTGGCAGGCATACTTGCTATGCACCCGCATGATGTACACGTTATTTTCTAGTGAGAACAAATTACTTGAATACGATAATTATGCGAATCTGTTGTATTCAGACAGTGGTGTTTATTAGTATAGTTGCATGGCAGTAGCAAAATTGGTTGTGAAGGTGAATGGACGACATACATAGCCATCGATAACTTCATAGAGTAGTTTATTCATCATGAAATTATTGGCCACATCGAGCAAATATTATTAGTAGTTCTCTGAAGGATGATGATTTGGATAAGGGAACCACATGAATACTTCAACAGGTCCCCCATTCGTTCCAGCATCTTACGATTCCTTTCCTGTGGACTTAGAAGCTCATGAGTAACAAAATAACAGTATTCTTATTCACTAGTACGGATAGATATGAATACTGGATTGAGAGTAACCCCACTCCTTTCACCCTAGTTTGATTATCTCAAAATCATTTGCCCACTGCAGATAGAAAACATGTTTCCCCAGTCAAAAGATTCTTTAACATCCTTTAGAAATTCGTATTACATTGAATCAATTTAGAAGGATAACTCAGCATATTATGTGAAAAAATGTAGAATAAGCACTTAAAAACTTAGGCAAGGAAGTATAAGGGTGTCAGAAACTATAAATGTCTCAAAATTACCAACAAATACCTCAGAAATTCATAATACACCTTCTGGTATTGTATGTTATCACTTCGTTGAGTGACATTCTTCTAATAACGAGTGTACAGCTAAGTGTTAACTGGAAATGACCCACTCGATGTGTATCATGTTTAGTGGGACATCTTCAGGATTCAATCAGATGCTACTGTGGAGGCTGGAAGACAGAGCAAATTATGATAAGCGACACACAGCTATCTATCATCTCTTGTTCAAACATCACTTGTTGATGTCAGATCGGGAAGTTCGCTACTCTTCAGTTTCAAAAACCGATTCATCGACTTTCTCTCAAGCCAAACGCTTTAGTTTTTCCAGTGGAAACTGTTGCATTTCATTCTGAGACATAATACAAGTAAATCTAGTTGATCAATCTCGAGTTAATCACATCGTGTGTCTGTCTCTTCTGATAACTATAATAACCGGAAGTCGGGGTGATGTAATGGAAAATATGGTAGCACTTTCAAAACAACCAGATACATCAAAAATATCTTATAAGTTCTGTACTGAAAACCGACCATAAAGGGTGCGAAACCGAAGAATAACTAATCCACATCTTCAACGTGTGGCGTAGTTATTGTGAATCATATTTACTACCCAGTGAACACTTTTCTTCATAGTTTAAATCAAACAATAAACTCAGACTTTGCTGATCATCAAGGCAAAATAGATCAGAATATTCGAAATTGGATAATACTTGATCCTGTCTCATGAACAGATCAGAGTGATCACCACACCAAATAACAAAACTACTCACATCTTTTAGGAAGATTCAAAATGATTTTCCTTTCTCTAACAACTTTCTTTTCATCTTCCAAACTGTAATTTGTACTGAATCTGTTGACTGCGAAGGAGCCATGTGGGGCCAGTCGATTCTGTTTCATACTCCCAACACATGAGGACAAATGTTTAGTTGCTGTAGAAGAACCTGGATAACTTCTTCTGTCTCTAGGTGTGTTCTCTTCACCACCACCACCACCACCACTGCCCTCTGCATCTGCATCCTCTTCTTCATCACCACAATCGTTGACATTAGAATCGGCTTCTGAATTTCCCATCACACCTTTCCATTTCATTTCATCTTTCGTGTGCGCTTGGACAATTTCCTGAAGAAAATGTATATAACCGATTGCTAATCGGAGTGTGTCCACTTTCGATAAGCGTTTCTCATACGGCAACGTCGGGATATGCGATCTCAAACCTGTTCTCAAAATTAAAAGACAACAAAACAATCTGTAAACACCCTAACTCAATCACTTATTATTTAGACATAAATTACACATAATTCGATTAATCTAATGAAAGGCGATGATCATCGTGGCCTTTTGCATTACTGCTTAAAATACAGATCGAAACAGGTGAGCTTCCATATAATATTAAAAGCAACTGACAGTCCTTTGCGTCTATATATGACAAATGCAACATTGTACTCATCATTGTGATTTTCGTAAAGTCTAAATAGACATTTCACCTCTCTGTGATATTAAAGTATATGTCAAATAAGCGGTTGGTCAGTCATTAAAGTTCACTTATTCAGACAAAATCTGATCGTCAACAAAAGTATGTAAAGCGTGAAAATCAACTGATATATGT